CTCTCTCTCTCTGGTTCTTTCACTATCTTCTTATGAGGTCAAAGTCGGTCACCACATCTCTCTCTCTCTCCATATCTCCCACATATGGATATTCAACCGTATTTTACATTTTTCATACATCTTTTCTATAATTTTTGGGTCATTTTCGACAAAATAAGATAGAGTTTACATTAGAAACAAATAACATGTTTTAGTTTTTGTTTTATAACGCATTGAAAATACATAACCGTTAGAATAATTAACGATTTGATGTAAATAAAGGGAATATACGGTACAAAACTTCAATACCTAAACACCCCTCTCCTCCCTTGTGTGCACCTCTGGGCGCCTCTCATATGATATGAATTAATTAATATTAACACAAAAAAAATTAAAACAGAATAACACCCAAAGCTATGGGAGAAATACAGAGGGAGAGAGTGAATGATCACTGTTTATGAGAGGGAGAGAGAGAGAGATGTGGTGACCGACTTTGACCTCATAAGAAGATAGTGAAAGAACCAGAGAGAGAGAGAGAGAGAGAGAGAGAGAGAGAGAGAGAGTTCCAGTGGTTTTTTGCATCAAATGTTTTAAAAAGTTTTTGACTGAAAGCACAGGTTTTCTGTTACCGTAAAACTAGGTTTTGAATATTTAAAATTTGAAACAAAACTTTTTTTACAGGAAATTATCCGTAAAGCGAGTGCTGCACAGGTATTCAACGTGTCGTCGGGCGCCATATGACAGGTAGTCAGTACTGCCCGTTATTATTGTTTCATATTATTTTAAAACACATCCCAAACCCCCCGTTAAGGGAGTAGTGATTGGCATTTGTTGTTTCAACAAATTTTAAAAAATCTCTTTCTGTCTCTTTGTTTGTTTGTTTCTGTGGACCAAATCTATTAAATCTATTTCTAGTTTGCGTTAACCATTCAAACGGGTCGCACGTATCAGAGGGAGAGAGAGAGGGAGAGATAGTGGGAGAGAAAGAGAGAGAACCAGTTCTTCAGCGTCCATACACTCTCTGTGTGCACAAGTTTTTTGGTCATAGAGTTTGCCATTTGGTTGGGAAGAGAAAGTGATATACATTTAGTCTCTTTCTCTGTAACAGTGCGACCGATTTTGAGTGCATTTTTAAGTGATTGTAAAGTATTTATCAAAAAAGTTCAATAATAAGCCACCGAAACAAACGGGAAATATATTTTGTTTCCCATTAGTTTGGGGTCCAAAGAGATCTCAAATATTATAGTTTGATTTTGTGTAATAAATAATATATTTTTTATGGTAAGAATTTTCAATATATTCCCAAAAGATTTTATAATTTAATTTAATTTTAACGTAAAAATATAAATTTTACTAAATTTGTTCGTATATTATAGAGATGTTAAACACATCGTCAATACCGATGGCTGTCATACCGCCGACGCTAAACGCATCGGCGGTTCACTCGGCGGTCGACTCTTTGCATACTTGCGGACAACTGTTTTTTGATGGTTTTCTGGAGCAATTGGGCTGGATGTTTTACTTGATTTCACCTAATAAATCGGCCTACGCTTCACCACACGATGTGCCAAACTATGAAGTCCAGGTAATTTATCAATTTAATTTGAGTTGACTATACTAACAAGTGATACGATTTAATAAAATTCAAAAATGACCATATTTATATATCAAATTTAACAATACAATTTAGTAATACAGTTTACCCATTATTTTTGTAACCCGTTAAATTCTGGATATTTACTTTTATATAGTTATGGTAAAGACCTTAATGTGTTAAATTAGAACACATATTTCACATAAAATTTTATGTATATTTAATAACCAATTGCAATAATTTAATGCAAAATTCTTGGTCTGTTTGTATTATTTCACTAGTAATATTCGTCGTTAAAAGTCAAAAAAATTTTATTTCTTGTTTCATAAAATTGTTGAAACAAAAAACTTCTTTCCTTTGCTTTTTCTTAAGTCCATTATTTTCATAAACTTTGCATTTCATTAAAACAAACAAATCTTTAATAAATATGTTAATCAATTATTATTAAGTATTTAGAAAAAAGCACATATTTTACAGCTTAACTGCAAATGAAAACATTTTATCAAAACATTACATTTTCCTCTAACTTAGATTTTATTTCGAAAAAAATTTATGGACTTTTAGAAAATACATTCACTTTTTGTCAAACAATTCTTATAAAACTACTTTTCATTTGAAACAAAAAATATTAATTAACATTTTTCTTCATTTACTGCCCATATCTGGCCGTCATATTGATTGTCAATATAAAAACCAAACGTCAAACACATAGATAATGCCCATATTCACAATGATGTTGGCGTTCGAGCAGATAATCCGCTTTTTTCAACGCAAACGGGCCTCAAGAGTGTCCGATATTGTCATCAATTTAGGCGCCGGACTCTTGTTTGTGGCCATGAGGTCTGTGTCTTCGCTCAAACACATCAAACATTGACATCAAATGCAAATACATTGACATAAAAACAACAATTTTAAACAAACTTTGAGGAAAATCTTTAAAATACATATAATTATAAAAAATAATAAATATATGGTTTAGTGAGATAGCAATTAAAGGCATGTGATAATCAAATACTTGTTAAATATCTGTTAAATTTAGTTTAATGTCACGATAATTACAGATTGAATCATATTTACAATTCTGGGTATTATTTTTCATTGAAATGACAGTTAAAACGGGCCATAAATACAAAATGATAAAAATTTGTAAATTAATATTTACGATATTTGTAATGTGTTTAGAGTACTACTATTGGGAACCGTATTGAATATATTCTACTTCTTCTACGACAACTATCGGATCGTGGATTTGCCGCCGACATGTATCTCAACGTGGTTTCTATCGTTGCTGTTGATTGAGTTCTGCTACTATTGGGTCCACCGATCTCTTCACGAGATCAACATCTTCTGGGCCTCCCATCAGTTCCATCACAACGCTGTCGACATCGATGTGTCCACAACACTGAGAGACACTCTCATCGATCTCGTTATTTATGAAGTAACAAACAAATGACCGCAATATCGTTGCAAACAATTACTAAAGTAGTGTCTAAATTACAAAAACCTAGTTTTTCCCGACACCGTTGGCGCTGATAATCCCGCCGCCGATACTCCTGGTGCACATGCAGTTCTCGCTCATCTATCAGGTGTGGCTCCACACCGAAGTGGTCACCCATTTGGGACCAATTGAGTACATAATCAATACTCCCCGTCAGCATCGCGTACATCACGGAAAGAATCGGTACTGCATTGACAAGAACTACGGCGCTCTCATCATGATATGGGACCGAGTCTTCGGCACCTATCAGGCAGAGGAGGAGAAGATCGCTTTTGGCACTACAGCCGAGGCCTATCCCACGTATGACACGACGACACTTCACTTCTACTACTATTACGACACCGTATGGAAGAAGTTTAAGCAAATGGACAACTGGTCCGACAAAATGAAAGCTCTATTCTACGGCCCCGGATGGGCACCCGGTATGCACTTTAACTTGTTTTAGTTGAGTTTGTTTTACTGATTTATTTTGGGGGTTCCGTTCTGTAGGTAAGCCCCGGACAGGACTGCTGACAGATATACCGGTCGTCGACCCGTACGCGCCGCTCGAGCGCTACGACCCGTTCATACCTTTCTGGCAGATCTATTACTGCATGTTTCACGGCTTTCTGGTTGCCCTCGGCTTCTATGTGGTCACTGATCACCCGTTGATCCGATTCTCGCACTTAAACGCAGTGATGGTATTTCTATACGTGTTGTTTGCGTTGACCTCTTTTGGCACAATCTTTGACCGAAGGTTTGTCCGCTTCTTCATTACCTTAATGTCATTTCGGACACAAATGTCTAACTAATAAATGATGTGATGATCAGATCTATGGCCCCATTGGTGGAGGTATCGCGTTGTCTGTTATACTTCTTGTTCGACACATATGTGATCAGCTCATGGATGGACTCGTCTCTGGAGCCGCGACTGCGAAATGTGACAGAAATGGGTCTGACATTCATACGAGTGGTGCACTTCGTGTCGATCGTGTTATGGCTGATGGTGTGGTTGAGCCGTACGAACCGTCACTGCAAAGAGACTTACGATAAGCTGTCGCTCATGAAGGAAGACAAATACATCGACAACTATACCATAGAGCAGAGCAAACAGGACTCCTGGCGTTTCTCCCGACGCCTGTGCTATATGTCGGGCGCTTTCGGATCATTCATTATCCTCTTTCTGGTGTTTGCCCTCCGCTTTGAAGAGTGCACTCAATTCCTCAATCCAACCAAAATTGAGTTATAAGTGGCCAGAAATACGGGCCCCGAAGTGCCGATCGCTTTATTATATAATGTATTAATTGATGTGTTTTATGCGCCAAATGATGAAATTATTATTATATTTTGTTTTGTTTATTTGAATCAATTTTAATTGGATTTAATGTTAATTTAAAATTATTTTATTATTTTCTGTCGATTTATTTATCGTTACTTTTATTCGCTGTTTGAGAGATAAGTATTAAATGATTTTATGTATTTTTATCCCAATATATCTCGATATAAAACTTTTTCGCTTAAATTATAAAGTTTTTTGCTGTTATTTCGGGTATTTCTCTCACTCTTAACTAAATTAACGATAAATTAATTAATTATTTACTAAATATATATAATAATTATTTTTGTTAAGTTTATGAATGAATTTTACGTGTATTGAGATATAAATTGTTCCTTTAATTATGTTTGAAAATGTATTATTGATATAAAATGAAGTGAATAAATAAATAAAACTTTTATTGTTATTTAATAATTAAAATTTAACATGTTGATAATTAACTTTATTTATATCTATAATTATAGTAAGTACTGTGTTATAAGTTATAAATTATAATTTAATAGTTTTTAGTTTAAAATATAATTTATGCATTCTAACCTTGATCAATGATCATTTTAAAGTAGCACTTATCATGTTGACAATGTTAAATTAATTATTGCAATAAATTTTTATTGAACAACATTTACAAATTTAAAAATATTGTAGATGTCTAAACATCTACTGTGTTTATGTTTTGACTAGACCAAATATGTTAATGATCATGATTGGAAAATTACTGTAATTGCTATAACATCCTGCCTAAATTGCATATAAGCCAATGTTAAAACATACACATTAAGCATTCTGTACCTAACAATCAAAATTATATTTTATATTATTCATAAATTATAAATCATAATCAATAAAGTTCAATATGTGAATCACAAAGTTATTTGTTATTTAATTTGAGTGGCCGCTGGCCACTCTACAATATTTACAAAAGTTCTAGAAGAATCTTACAATTTAAATATAATTATCTAGTTAATTTAATTACTCGGATAATAATATGACATATAATTAATAATGTATTATATTTTGGTTGATTTGAAAATAGATTTATCGAAACAACTATTTCTCGGCAAAACATTCCTCTTATTTGATCTCAAAAGTGATTCTAAGAAATGAAAATACATTTAAAACGTTGAGTCCATTTTCAAAGACACACTTTGTATAAAGTTTTTTATTTTAAAAATCATTAATTGAGGAAAATTCTTCATTAAAGTTACTTTTATGTAGAGATTATATTTTTGAGAGTATTAAGTGTTTGAGAGAGAGAGAGAGAGAGAGAGAGAGAGAG